CCAGGAGCGTGGGTCGGGGTAAGAGGGTAGGGTAGGTGTGACAGTGGGTGGGGGGAGGGAGGGAAAGAGCCAGAGAGCTCAGCCGAAAGCGTGGTCGGCTTCCACAGCTGCATAGGTTGGTTCCCGACTGGCATTTCGACTTGTAGGTGCTTACATAATCACTGTAGTGGCTAGCGCTCCGAAGTGCTGCGCGTAAAGGCGCGCCGCGCGACATTTAAAATGTTCCATATTTGTATGAGGTTTAAACTGAGATGGCCATGTTATAGAGCATTCGGTGCAGCTCACAGTACTGCTGTTCGTAAGGCCTAATTCCTTCTAGTTTCTGAGCTACACGGCGCGGAAGATGTACAGACTTTTGGGGAAACTATTGCAAGGGCCCTCAGATATCCATGACACCATAAAAGCGTCATTCAAATCCTGCTATCGCATTGATCCTGTGGTGATCCAGGCCAAGAAGAATATAATAATATAGTCGGATATTTCCAATTTCCAGATATAACGGTCCTCAACAGGCTCTCAATGTTGTGCAAGATGCGATTCGGTAATCAATGACGCATTCGGTGATCAATGGTGCCTGCATCCCTATCTTCAAATATGGAACACTCTGTTTAAAATGCGAGAAGTCGGGCGCGTGGGAGTCGAAATCGCGGAATGATTTGGATTTTTTACTTGAGCCCACTCTGAATTAATGGGAGGGAAACGTGTTAAGACTCCACATGCCTTTAAATTTGCCTTCAGGTTGATTTTGATCCTAGAAAACACCCCCACCGTCCCCCTCCCCCCCCATCCCTGCCATCCCACACCCACCCCCGCCCCCAGTCCACCCCGATGCCCCTATGTGGAAAGCCTGAACGATCTCAAACAAACATCATTGATACAAATGGTTGGTTGTGTGAGCCTCGAACTTGCGTAAGCATAAGTGCTTTATAACTCACACGGTGCGCTGAATCAGAGAAACTGTTCTGTCTGATCAGGCTGTTGCGATGGTTGATAAAATATGGTATGAAGCGTGAGTGGTACCCAAACCGCAGTGAGCACAATTGTTTCAAGGTGTATAGACAACTCTGAACGTGCCCATTTGAAAAGCGTATTGCTTATAGTCATCACCGGTTCTATGCGAAAATTGCGGATGAATGGCTGGTGACAAGACCAGAGGCGCAACTTTTCGGTTGTTTTTCACATCATTACAGAGCCAGGCCATGTTCTCATTATTGATACACTTATTGCAGCGGCCCGCGGAAGTCCGATCCTCGAGCAATGTAATCTTGTTTTACCATTGACCACACTAGGTATATAAGCCCAAGAGCTAGCTTTACAAAAATCTGCACACTATATATCTATAATTGGTAGCTGAATACGCACATCTTCTAATTTGTCACCAAGTCTTGCAATTCATGACCGTCATCTCCATCCACTGACTCTGGGCAGGGACATAACAACCCCTGGAGTGGAACGTGCAGCTAAGCTAGATTTAGAGGATACATCATTGTCAGAAAAATATACAGAATTGACGCTCCAAGACAACGAGAGCACTTAGTGAACCTAACACCACCCTAGACCATATCCTGCTGTTCACATTTTGAATCAAATGTAGCGTGAGTTGTTGACACATTACTTTTCTATAACTACTTTCCACTAAAAACTGACTGGTCACGTTTGTCACAAAGAGATGAACTTGCTGCACATGAATTCATGATATTGTGTAATAGGTATGATAGTGAGAACACTGGTTACAGCTGAGCAATCAGATACAAAATATTGTAGTATTGACCCAAACTTAGACTTTTAAGTGTTGTCATACTGAAATCGTCGCTGAGATGATTAACCTGCTGCCTGCCGTAATAAAACTGTTAGTACTGTGTCCTGAATAACCTCGTAGTTTTAGCATAAGATGGGTCATGAATTTCATCGATGCCCTATCCTTCTGTGCAACTTCAAAATGCATGCAAAATGTGCCTCCTGATTTTGAAAGGACCTCGTCACGAAAAAAAAGTCGCCGGATGTGTCCCATTTTCAAATGAAGGCATGTTTTCTTTTTTTATTGTTATCTTGTGTAACTGGAACAGAAGCCAGAAGCTACTACGAGATTAATTCTGTCTGAATGTTGTGTTAAATAAACTGAAGAAATCATGTGTTAAACAACTGCAGAATCTAGACCGCTGAAGCTCCTCATTTGAAATAATCCGGTGGACCTTTTATAAAACGGCATTACTCGGAAGTTTTGTCCGAATTTTGATCTGGCTTTGACAGATATTAAGGACCGCGCGAATGTACATTTTGGATAGAAGCAAGGCAACGATTTGTATTACCATGGCCCAGCTATGTTTGGCTGGAAATGTTAACATTTGGTCAAAATCGAATAGTGGAAAATGTTATTGAACGTGGTCTTGAACATGCAAACTCGAAAATCTCACTAACAAAACCTCGACACCAGGCGTTGCAGCCTCCATATGTCTCGCAGCGTCGGCCCCGTGGTTAACACTAAGCCGTGGCCAACGGGTGGACGAAAATGATGGCGCATTGAAAAGAAGTACCTATTAGTGCTTTAGGAAATCAAATCGTATATTTAGAAGATGTTCCGGGCGTATCTTTTACTTGTGCGATTTTTAGATAGATGACAATCACGGATTGGCATGTAGAGCACCATGAGTGATGCTGGAATCTAGTGGTGGAACTAGAAGAGTGAAGTGTAGTCTCTATATTAGGTGTTGCGGGTCTAAAACTGTTTGTTGTTTGCTTCCCTATTCAATGTTTAAAAAACAGACGTTTTCAGGCAAACATGGGATGACCTAGGTCGCTTTTCAGATCATTTTGACCCACTCTTGTCGGCACTAATGAGCCCCTTACTTTTTCTATGCGATGGGTTCCCTTGAGTGGAACGCCGCAGTGCACACTTTTGTACCCGATCGAGGGCTTATGGGCGATTTCGTCTCACCGCGGGGCGTCTCCCGGCTGCCATTTGGCGACACAGGGATGGGGTCCGCTGTTCGACTTGGAGGCCGGTAGAGGGATACATCATATCACATTGGTCCCTTCCTGACGCGGGAAACCCTCCGACCCGCGCAGTTCGCCCCGGATCGATGCCGGAACCCTCATTGACGCAACACAATCCCTGATCGCCGCAAGTGGTTCAATGATTGTGCTTAACTCCAGTTCGGTTTAACGGCCCCACGCGAGAATGAGGTTGGAGAGCCCGCCGTTCGGTACTGGAGGCCGTAACTGTCACAGGACCCTTTTGTTGTGTTGTGAATGTGAACTCTCATCATTACTTTTTATGCTTCTTTTCATTGTCAGAGAGCCCCGAGCGACGCAAGATGTCCTCTGATATTCGGGGTTCCGTCCCCGTCGCTCTTCAGAAGATGTTCCCTGGCCGACTTAAGGCCCTTTGTTGACACAGGACACCTTGTTAAGCACTGCAAGCCCCTGGCCGATACAGGATCCCCGCATTGTCTCAGGGGGCCCTACCAATGTAAACAGCGGTCTAGTCTAGTCCATGCATGGGAAATGAGCTCCGACCGACGCGGGGTCGACTGTTCAAAGTTGGTGATCTCTGCTTGAAAAGAAGAAAGGTCTGTCTAAAGGTCTCCACTCGGTGGAAGAAGGCCTGTAACTGACGTTTAAGATCACAGCCCTACGGTTCTTAATGTGACCTTCAGCCACCTTTTCGGACCCTTCAGTCGTCCAATCGGGCCCTTGACCTTTGGTGTCGAGAGACGCTTTGGCACCTCGAAGGACCCCGCAAGCACGGCTCCTAACGACTCGGGCCACTGGCTGACACAGGATCCCCTGTTGGGCACTGTTGGACCCTAACTGACCCTCTCATGGTTTCAGTGACCCCGATTGGTGCAAATCGCAGGTCTGGCCTCGCTCATGCGTGGGAAGTGGATCCCCAGGGCCCAGGCCGACACGAAACCGACTGTTCGATGTCATTGGTCCCTGATCGAAACAGAGGCTCGCACTGTCCCAGGGTCCCAATCGATGCAGGAGGTCCTTTGACGAACATTTGAGTTCACGGCCTTATGGGCGGCGGGGGGGGGGGGGGCCCTAATGTGACCTAAGGCCAGTCCTTCGGGCTCTTCAGCCTTGCAATCAGGCTCTCGATCTATGGTCCCGAGTGGCCCTTTGGTCCTTCTTCGGACCTAAAAAAGCTTGTTACCGACTCGAGGTCACGGCCTACACAGGACCCCCTGTTAGGCATTGTGGGACCTGACCGACACAGGGGTCCGACCATTGGTCCATGGACCCAGGCCAATGCATGTCGAGGCCCCGGTCTTGCTCCTGCTTGGGAAATGTATCCCAAGGTTTCAGACTAACGGGGAGCCAACTGGTCGGTGTTGGTGGTCTGTGGCCATCACAGATGCATGCATTGCCTCAGGGGTCCTCAAATGGCGCAAGAGGCCCTCTGACTGATATTTAAAGGATGGCAAACTTACGGACCGTGATTCTTTAAATGGCGCGCAGGAAGTCATTCGTGCCATTTGGTCTTACCGTCGAGCCCTTGATCTTCGATTTCGGTGGGTCCTCACGACTCTTCAGGCTTCCTCTAACTTTCGGTGCGAAAGGTTTTCCGTCAGTCGCCTCTTCATGGCTGGAATTTTCTCTCAAGGGAGTGGGTACGGACGTTGGCGTGACAGGGGTATGGGGCTCCGGACTCATTTTTCAAGTTACAATGCGCGGTTCATATCCTTATCTATATCATATCCTTCATATGCTTATCATATGCTTATCATATCCTTATCATATACTTATCATATCCTTATCATATCCATATCCATATCTAGTATTCTAAGGGAACGATCTTAGAGGAAGGTGAAAATTCACATCTTGAAACTTTTTTCCTCGATTCACAAATAAACATGGTCTGTGATGCGCTGCAAACAATAACTTGTTTTTCAATGATAATATTGAGAAACCAATTGAACTAAACGGAGAAGAGACGCCAAAAAAATGTTTTACGCAGGGGTCATTGCGATAGAATGGTTGAGGCATAGCCGTGAGAAATTCGTGATGTTTGTCACATGCATTGTGCGTAGTTGCCAGTTTGAACGAGCAGGATTCGACGGATCAGTGGTGTTGTAAAAGCTAGTTTAAACAATGGGCCAAACCATTCAGGGCTACGTAAGGTTTTGAGTGCATTTGCGGAGGACATTATGCATATAGATAAGACATTACGGTGAACCTCATTCCTCGTGGAATAACCAGGAGAAAGGAGATATAGATGTATTTGTATTTCGTCTGCTTGACTATGCAAACGTTATGGGTAGTAAATTCGAAGTTGCCTTGCCGATCTCGTTTGATTTTTAGCTGTTCTTTTTGGCACTAGTCATTAGCCTCTTCCCTTTTCTCCCCTCCCACTTCACATACTCCCACATCCCACCTCCCACTCTCACATCAACATACCTGGTGCGAAGGTGGTGCAAGCTCAATTTCTCTGCTGAGTTAGGTGCCTCCTATAAGCGTTGACAAAATATGGCCCATTGTGTCTCGTCCGCAGGTGGTGGGCCGCACCATTCTAAAAGAAATCGCCTTCCTTCGTGGATAAGGTGAACAAGGTGGCCCGTATTTGGCGCACGTTTGCACAAGAGACATGCGGCCATTCACTCTTGCGTACTCATAGCACTTGTTTTCGATTTATTTTACCCGATATATGCAGATGTAACGGGAATAAGACGCTGAAAACTAACACCGAGCGGGCGTACCGCACTCCGGTTACTCTATCATTTGTAGAGGGAGCCAAGAGTTCGAAACGAGAAACAAATGGCAGGATTTCTTTCGCGCTGACCGAATCATCCGTGGAATGGCCAGTAAGCCGTCAGCTTCACAACAGTTTATTGCTGCACCTTAACTCTTTTCATAGCGTTAGCGCTGTGCTTTACGACTCATTGCTGGGATGTAAAGCGGCCGTCACAGAACGGGACACCACTATTCAATAACCGCGAAACAAGCACATTGCAAAACAACAAGCATCGTGACCGAACATACGCGAGCGGCCGTGACATCCCTGTACTTGTACAGCGGGACAAAGGTATGTCACAGTGGATAGCGACGATAACGGTGTACTGCTGCGACGCAGATCCACTGCGACAAGACCTATGAGTACCCGCGGGAGTCGCTGAACGCCTTGGCCGACATGGGTCTGCTGGGTGCGATCGTCCCGAAAGAGCTGGGCGGACTTGGGGAGAATCACGTGTGCACCGCCATGGTGGTCGAGACCCTGGCCCGCTACGGCTGCCCCAGCACCGCCATGGTCTACAGTGAGTACTGTCGGCAGCACCGCCATGGTCTACAGTGAGTACTGTCGGTAGCACCGCCATGGTCTAAAGTGAGTACTGTCGGTAGCACCGCCATGGTCTAAAGTGAGTAATCGGTAGCACCGCCATGGTCTAAAGTGAGTAGTCGGTAGCACCGCCTTGGTCTACAGTGAACAATGTCCGTAGCACCGCCATGACCTACAGGGAGTACGTTTGCCAGCACCGTCATGGGCTCTACTGTCTAATTCTGCCATCAGCCTCGTGGTGTACTTTAACCAATGTCACTAGCATCGTCAAAGCTGACAGGGAGTATCGATAGCACCTTCATGGCTTATAGTAAGCACCTTTGCCAGCAGCGCCATTGTCTACAGTGATTTCGGCGATTGTTTATGCCATAGTTTACTGGAGTTGAGCCATGTCTTGGGCAAAAATGAACTTTAGTAAAACGTCTTTGTTAACCCCAATTTACATTATGTGCTGTACTGTTCATCCACATGTTCCCGTATTATTGTGGCCTGTAATAATAAACACTGTTTTGAAAGCTATCGGTAGTTTTACCTGGCTATTTAATTACCCTTCGTTGCGCAGTTATTTTTATCCCCATGACCTGTTTTAGCGCAAGCATCCTTGAACCGTGAGTACCCTGTGTTATTGTATCCTCGCTTTGGGATTATATCACATTCCCTGCCAAGGCATGGTTCACAGTGAGTACATTGCTGGCATTGATTCAGAATGCTTATTTTGCTGTCAGTGCGCTGCTGTGGTCTAATATTGCGCACAAATCTTAGCCCAGTTTAAAAGCCTCAAGCCTGGTCAGTAATAAGATTGAGTATTGCTATCATTTGTTCAGAATAGCCCACCATATGTTGGCTGGCTGTCAAAACTTGCCACGACCTGTCCTCTTTCGTCAACGTATTGCATTCTATTATGGTACATTATGACATCTGTCCAGCCACGGCGCGTCACAGCTGTGTTATCCAGCCATGTCCATTGCATGTACTGAATTGACTGAGTGATCCGGCAGCGATCGGTGCACGCCTTGTCATGGGTGACACGTCTTGTTTGGCCTTCAGCTATGCACGTGGCTGCCGTGTCGACCCTGCTCTTCCGCTACCACAACAATCCAACGATCCAGGACGTGCTGCACCGCCTGGACAAGGACAGGCTGGTGGGGACGTTGTCCTTCAGTGACCCGGCTACCGGTGAGTGACATCTAACAGTGGCATGTCGCACTGCGTTGAGGCGCGTAGAATAGTTTGTTGTGTAACCGGAGGACGATTTTCGGCGGTCGTTCCGCAGCGAACGGCCGTAAAGCATGGCGTTGGGATATGCAGGAAAGGGCACCAACATTTGGATATATTTATAGCCGTATTAGTTGTATATACGGGAAGATGGGACATACATTTTACCTTTTATGGATGCTCAAATGAAGTGTTTCAGATCTGAATATCTTGAAGCCAACATCAGCTATCATGGTACAAGCTCTCGCACAATTGTTAGACACATTTAAGAAGAAAAACTGCACTAGATAACACAATTTCTCTGTTTAGTAACTATGCTTCTCAGTACGTCATTGATTGCGTCACTGTACCTTACACATGTGCACCAGCATTTTGGGGGAATTCATAGGCGCGCTAATTGCATGCTGGGAGTGAGGGGTCATGTATTTACTTTCTAAAAACGTTAACAAGGACCATATTATGAATATAGAGGGCTCGCTTAAAAGTTGGCTTGCCTAATCGACACCCGTTTTCGGGCTTCTAAAGATAAAGGACCATGGTGAAACGGCAGTGCTGCCATGGCCAGCCTCAAGCCCGGGGAATTGCTGACATACGTTTCGACCAAAATCTGCCACCTACACATCGAACGCCGTTGACGGTCAAAGGTGACCTCCAACCAAACCGGTCACATGTTTATGGCTCTAGCTCGTTATGCGTGTTTGGCGTGATCACTAATAACGTTTCACCTAGGTTATCACCGTGCCCATCTCTCATTATGCCAGACTCGGGCACGACAGCCGGACATTAGCCGACTGAAAACCTAGAGAGCAAACAAACCAAGATGGCGGGCGTTGCGGCGTAATCGTGTTCTGCGGTATCGCGTCGCTGTACCGTTCACAGTAGCATCCTGGACGCCAGAGATATTGCCAGCATCAGCCTGCCTCAAAGCATCTCAAGATCTGCTCTTAGCTCGGGGATAAACTGTTTTCTACGAGTGTTTCTTACGTTGTAGGATTTTGAAGAGTTTCGGTTTCGACACTGACCGAATGGAAGAGCAGCACCACCGGTCGACGGGGATAATGGAAAGTGACTTAACGTGTGATAGATCCGCTCTTTGTATGCACCTCCAAATGCAGTGCTCAATTTAAAAAGTATACTGGCGTATTATGGACTGGCATTTCGTATCACGCTGGGAGATAGGACGCCGTAGAACATCCTACCTGTGTATGCAATGACGTTTGGATGCTGTTAACCGGACAAGGAACTCTTTGTGCAAGGGTTGTTTTCTTCCGATGATGCATATTTTGTTTCGTCAAAAAACTTTTAAATCGTGTTCCTGATCTGCAACAATTATTGATTGCAGAGGCTTTCATGTAACCTTAAACCCTCGCTGGGCTAGCTGGTGGATGGGTTTCCCCCAAGCGGTGTTTCTGACGGAAGGGAGAACCATCCAATATTTTCCAATAATTTTGTCTTAGCTGATAATGCTTTCATTGCTTATGTTCGCAAACAAGTGGCTCGGGGTCATGTCATGTTGGGGTGTAACGCCATTTCGGAATGTTTGCACAAAACTTCCGTCACGAAATATGGTTTGTTTAGTTTGTTGCTGTTTGTTGGCAATAAATGATGCATCTATTAACGAAATCGGAGCGGAATGAGATTCTTCTGTACACGATTTCTCTAGGAAGGTCGGGGTCTTTTGATGGCTATATGAAACTATCATTGGTGTATGGCAACCCAGCCTTAGATCGTCTTAGACGCCTTGGGGCACTGTGTCACATCCAGAACTGGATTCTGTTTTTTCTCAAATATCATCGTTCAATGCTTTGGGAGGGTTTATTGCTAGGGCTTTATGCTCGCCAGCATTAAGGTTGGCCTGGCCTGTGTGTAGTTGAGAAGATCTGGTCATCGTTTAATTCGTTAGATGCCAGGCCTCACCGTTGTTTGTATCACGGTTCTAGTTCAGCTTGGTGCCAGATGGCGAGACACGCCTGTTGCTGACGTCTGTCAATGACGCAAAACACTCTGCTTTTCTTGGTTACGGTCAACATTTGCTACTTTGCCAAGTTAAACATTCGCAGGGTTTTCCCATGCTTCACCGAGTACCACAGCTCCCGCCGGGATAGGTTATCCCGAGATATCTGCAGTGACGAACATTTTAGCAACTTGATCTGGACAAAAACAAGCATTGGGCTCCTCTTTTTTAGCGTTATGAGCGTGCAGTTCTTGTGCTGAAAAGAAATGCTCTTCAGTATACCAGAAGGTATTAGTTAGACTGATTGGGTAATGATGCCATCACCGTCCGTGAAGGTGCTGGGGTTTACTATTGAAAGTACCCATTGTGGGAGATGCACATGCCCCATATTTTGAAAAGGGCAACTCTATCCTCTTCTGCTTGTGTAACATTTGTCATCGCTCTACGCCCGAGGTTCGTAAACTTTCCATCCAGTCCGATGCTTCCTCCCTCTTCTGTACTGCCTCTCTGTCTGGCATGGCGCTGCAGCGTGTCGCCTAAACAGAGTGCAAGGCGTGATGAACTTTGGCGCCAGGATTGCCACCGAAGGTCGCTGGCGTGATTCGATGGCGGCGGCTGTTCAAGCGCCGGGCTGGCGCGCTGCTCGTGACTTTGTCACCCAGCCTTGCTGTATCCAGGGCCCTTAACGACTCGGGGGCTCCGGGTGCCATTCGGTCACTGTTCACCCCACGTACCGCTGTATGCGAGCGTGCCACCCGGACGGCACGGCGGGCGCCCTTGCTCTGCCAGCTCTCCGCTTGTCGGTGGCACGTGGGGTCGCGGTGGTACGCCGATCATCACTGCCTCTCGCAACCACAATGAGTTTGGTACCAGGTTGGAGGATTTAGACGGTCGCGTTGTGTAATCATTGCTTGCTCGCCGTTGTGTCACGTGTGTTGGCGACATAGATTCAGATTTTTTTACAGAGTGGTGGGAATGAATGGTTGATAACGTGCGAATGTGCTTGCGTTGTCATGTATTACTATTGCATTCATACTACTATTGTAAGCGTATGGAATCAAACAGCAAGCTGCCTGTTTGAATGATTCCTGAATACAATTAACTTACCTAAACAGAATGAACTGAAAACAGAACGTATTGGTTATCATGCAAACATTGATTATATTGTCCAAGCTCAAAACACAAAGTCTTGAGTGAAAACACAGCGTTTTTTTACAGAATCTTCAATCTCTTTGCTTAATGGCAACCTTTCATCAACAGTTCCTGGTAAATTAGAGATCAGTTAATGCCAGCAAAAACTTCCATTTCGCATTAGTTTGGCAACTATTTGAACCGGTGATGTCCGCACGTTGCTCGCGATAGAAAGACTGCCTATCTAATCATTAATATATCGAGAAAAGACGTCCCGGACCAGACACCAGGGAAACATGACGTCCTATACAGGCCACCGAGGAGACCGGGCTCCACGAGATCGACTGGACGTCACGAAAGTACACCATGCAAACCACGCATCACGAGCCAGAACCCAAGCAACCCAGACTTCACAAGCCGAATACCAGTGAGACCGGAAGTCCCGAGCGGACACTTCTGAGACTAGGCATCACAAACCAGACACAAAAAACAAACTTCGGAAGCCAAGCACCAAGGAGACAGTCGAAAAGCTTGGAACATGGGAAGGAGCATGTCGGAGGAAGCACGGCAACGCGTTCTGCAAGAGACTAAATGTGTCGAGCACAAAGCACTGATGGGTTTGCACTAACCAAGACACTGCTGGAAAAAGGAAGCAGACCCACGTCAAGTTGGTAGTCTGTTTCCATCCATGATGCTGTACAAACTACTTTACATGCCCTCCGCGATTCTTGGGCACCTATTGGGCATAGCTCTGAGCGAAATGTTTCCTCCGTGCCAAACGGCAATATTTCGTTCCCATCGAAATCCAAGTGTTGCCCCAGGATCCATGCCCCAGAATCCAACGTGCCCAGGACCAAGTTCCCCCTGTCGTCTTAATGTTATCGGCCGGACGTCTTTTGTGACCTGTGGCACCCTCGCGTGCCCCAGGCGGCCACTTCTGGTTCCCGCTGTCGTCTAAGTGTCGTCAGCTCGACGAGAACCATGTGAAGCTGCTCAAGTACGGCTCGTGGGCCACCTCGGCCGGGTTTGCTGACTGGTACGCCATCCAGACAGTCAGCCCCGGTGCCAAGCCTGGCAACTTCGCAGACCTCTCCTGCTTCCTGGTTATGAAAGTGAGCACAGGCATGTTTGGGCTTATATTGCGACTCATATGATTTTGGAATGCTTTCGGTTTACTTGTCCTTACCAGTACTGCGTATGAATTCGATTCCGATGGTAAAGGTGATGGAACAGATCTTATACTTTCGGTAGTGGTTTTCAGAAAAGCAAGATGTGCCTGAGAATATCAGTGATCATAAAGCAGACTAGAAACAACCTCAACGAACCTCATCGCTTTTACTCAAAGCAAACGCATTCCATACAGCTTATAAAACAGTAATATATAAGCATACACACAACTGTATTTTACAGCCATTTAACGTGCATGGTTATTGTTCGAGAACAGATCACACAGCAACACAGCGCTTTAGTAATTTACCGCCTAAGAGACGAATCAATCTCGAAATATGTTACCTCTATGTCGCACACGTGTTGGTGTGAAGTGCTCCACAGCCTTGCTCGTTGTATATTACCTATTATAACCGACATAACCCATGGGCGTGGGGCCGTTGCAGGACGAGGTGCGAGCCAATGCCAACGAATGGCTTTCCCTGGGTTTGCACGGAAACCAGTCGGGACCGCTGATTTGCGAGGGAGTCCTGCCTAACGACAGGAGAATCGGACCCATCGGTAAGTCACGTGCGGCGTCGTTAGAGCGGGAGATCACGCCTAGATGTCGGTGACAAGGGTCTTTGTGGGTGCTGATGATTGGATGATGTGCTAGAACACGCAGTGATATAGCACGCTCGTTTCAGCTGAGGTGTCATCGGATGTCCTGGTTATGACGTCATTGGGAAACATCAACTGTCTGTCCGGTGGCATGCAAGGCCATTCAGAGTGCGTCATTTGTTTGCATTTCCATGAAAAGTGTGTAGGTGATTGAACCGAGAAAAGGGTGTGTTACACTACAATTGCTACCACTGGTGTTTAGAGCTATTGACATTAAAACATGTAGCTACGTCGTTATGCTCATTAAACTGCATGGCTATCTCACCAGCTTTTTATCTACGTCTGTAGGGCCATCACAGAGCTAACCCTGAACGAAAAATGTCTCGACTGCACTGAATTACTGCAAAAGCGATGTCAAGTACTGCAACATGTTAAGGAAACATCTATCATTTGCTGCACTGTGCTTCAGGTGATGGCGCGCGAGCAAATGATGAGTGCGTGGATCCGTTCTTCCTACTGCTCTCTTCGGCCTGCTGGAACGGTATCTCTATGGCTTGCATCGACCTGGTAAAGAAGCACGTCACCAGGAAGACCCACGGCGACGTGGGCATGCGCGTGTGCGACTACCCGACCATCCAGGTCAGTGTTGGGGTAGGAAGGCGCACTGGGTTGTCCAGTGGTCTGAAGGGGATTCAGTGTTCTGGTGCTCCTTCCTTACCTTTACACAATGGGGTACAGTATGATCATGTGGGTTGCGCCATGTGTACAGTTTAGTTCACTCCTCACCGCATGCATGCATGGTCATAGTGTGACTGTTCTTTCCAAGGCTCCTCCACAGCAAACTGTGTCCGCCCCCACCAGGACTACTTCGGCGAATGCGTATGCGACACGAACGCGACGCGGCTGATGAACGCGTCGCTCGCCATGGGCATGGACCAAGTGACTGACGACAACAGCTGGGAAAAGCACAGCGACATCACGTACATGCCGAGGTCAGTGAGGCCCGGGGAACTTAGACATCACGGGTTGGAAAACTGGGGTAGGGCTCACGTGGGTATGGCTACCACAACTGATAAGAACGTGTAGCATCAGCAGGATGCCTTTTTCGGATGTTGTGGTCGAATCTTTTATGAGCCCTGACAATGAGAGCTGGACACGAAAAAAGTGGGTAATAGCTTCTCTAAAGCAAATGTGTCGCGTTGTTTTCTTCAATATTTGTTCCAGCAATTCTCGTACCTGTCCGTGTGTTGCGTCTGCACCGGCTCGATGGTCGATGGGTTGGTCAGTGTAGTAGCTTTAGCTGACATTGCCGCCAGTTAAGGCACGTTTTGTAATGGTCTCAGTCGGCAGCGTAATTAAATGATGGTTAGCACACGCAAACATCAGATTTAGTGCTACTCGAGGACGGCTGTACCATGCCGAGGCATTACTCGCTGAACAAACTCATGGCTATATCCTACAGGCATAATTAGGGTACAACAGGCGTTTGCAGTCTTGCTTCGCTGCGCTTGATGTGGAAATTAAAATGGTTATGTTTTGTAGCTGAATTCACGTCTCTAGCTGCTCTAGGTGTCGACCTATGACGCAAAACGTGAACAACGTTGGTAAAGGCCAAATCCATCTTGTTGGTTCGTGCACTCGTGACACGGAACACGCGCATTGAAATTCATGTGACGTCATTATTTGTTCAAATCCCTATCAGTACATGCCACTACCGAGTGAGGGCGTGCGTTGGATGCCGAGACGTGGCAAAAAACGTGTAAACCCTTAGAAAGGAGCAAAACCCATTTTACGAGCTCTTGTGTGCTCGACACATGGCACATGCGACCACACACTTGCGAAAGGACACTTCGCGATAGCCCGTCCAATGACCTATCGCAGCATTCCAGCCCCCCGTCGTAACATGCCCTGGGTGCCGAGTTGTGGCCAAAAACCGGTAAGCCTGTCATAAATAACAAGTCTTATCATTTCGGCGTGTGTGGGGGTGACACGTGACCCATGCGCGTGCACTCCTGGGGACACACGACTGCCCGTTGACTACCGTATGAAAGCATACCAGGCCCGTGTCGATACGTGCCTTGGGTGCAAAAATATGGCCTAAAACGGAAAAACCGACGAAATCGGCAAAGTCCATCTTCACAGCCAGCGCGCGCATTACATGTGCAACATCATATGTTAAACACGTGATTTGCGGTTAGACTGCCTATCGAGGCATGCCTATCTAGAGTCACTTTGCTTGTTAGGCGCTGATATATCGCAAAAGCATGTAGACTCATTGAAAGTGGCAAAATGCACTTCCCAGCGCGTGTGCATCCATGACACGTGCCACGTGCGATCCATTCTCTCAACGGCCGATTGCACGCTACATTTATCAAAGCGTTGCACTCCCGATTCCCTCCAAATCCTGAGTGCCAAAATGTGGCACCAAACGTGGTCATCGCTGAAAGCAACAAAATCCACCTTGCCACCTCGTGTAGGCGCGACATGTGGCCGTGGGGCTGCACAGTCTGGCGTCGCATATTTTTCCCCATCGAAACGCGCCACTGTGTGTTCGTCTCCTGGGTGCCGAGATGTGCCACAAAACGTGTAGGCCAGTGGAAGAGAACGAAATGCATTTTTGTGTGCATGGAACATCATACATGCGACCTTACCAAGTTGCATAGCACATCTGGCCGTGCCATTGCCGGGCCGCTCCGTTCCGTCGTCGGAATCCAGTCACGTATGCAGTCGGCCGGTTGGCCTTGAACGTTCGGTTGGAGCTGCCGGGAGCCGGGGCAGCACCTTGTCGCGGCGTAAAAAGCTCCATGCGGCAGGTTTCCCAGGCTCGTTGGCGAGCCAATATTGTAAAAGCCATCAACAAAGGAGTAGTAAAGAGGAAGGACAGCTTGGCCAACATGGTGATTAAGACGCGCCCGGGTGTCCGGCTAGGTACCCTTCGTTCGGGGGGGGGGGGGGCTCAATTTGGCCCTCCTGAGATCTCGGGGAACTAAGAAAGCTAGAGACACCAAATTTGCAGGGTGTCTTGACCTGTACGAGAACTCACTCAGGTTCAAGTTTGAGCTTCCTAGGTCATAAGTTTCATTTCAAATAAGGTCAAACAACGGGAAATTCTAGGTTGGTCTCCGAACTGCCCCCAGAACCTAGGAAACTTTCTAAGCAAAAGGTCAAAAGTCCATTTGGGGTCAGTGACCTTGTTTGACCCTTTGAAGGTCATGGTGACCAAAATCATACAAGACTGCTCTGAGTTTTGCATTTGAATAAGCAACAAAGATTACGCTAGGCAGTATGTTCATAAAACAAAATGCCGACCCGACTCATCTTAGGTCAATGACATTTTCTGACCTCTAGGAAGCCAATGGACGATGTATAATGCGGTTCTTGCTGTCAATAAATTGGAAATGAGCACCACAAACTATATCCTACAGCAAGCTCCAGAATAATAAATCAGGTTGGTTGTGACCTTGGTACGATCTTCATACCTGACCTTAGGTCAACGTAATTTGCTCATCCGATATTTGTGTTGCCCAAGAAAGCATCTCAGAGATGTATGGCTTCGTAAAACACTCCGTTATTGTACCAGATTGGACGATTCCCCAGAATTTCCCTTCGCTGAAACCATGGCCTGACTGCCCTGCCATAGGTCATTGACCTTACAAGGTGCATCTAAATTGGTGATGTTAAACAATCGGCTATTGAATCTTCTACGGCTGTACAAAATTTGGCGAGGCTACGCCGCGCCGTCGGAAACCATTCTGGAAATTTCTGGAAACCATTCTGGAAACCATTCTGGAAAACCATTCGGGGGGTCAATTTGACCCCTCCCCCACCCGAGCGCGTGTTAAGTTTTGACACTTAATTCTTAACAGCTCTAGCCGTAGTGACTTGTATTCGACGCAAATATGTGAAAAGCCACCAGTTGCAGCATGTCTTGCAATTTGCAGCGCATCTGTTCGCAGTATGCATCGCAAAGAAACTCGCGATGCATGCTGAAGTTGTAGCTGCTGCAATTGTAAGCGTTGGGAAATCTAAGGTCTATCCTTAATATGCGATGGGCGCCGAGGTGTGACCCAAAACGTAAAACTGGTAAAAAAATGGTCAATTTCATCTTTTCAGCTCGTATACACGTGTCGCGCGCCCCGTGCCAGCGCAGATTTGCCAGCGTCCCATTCGATGATCTAACTCGCTGTGTGAATTTCATTTCGTTACGAGCCGCCGTTTTCGAGGTGCGGCTCCAGGAGTAGACTGTGTTGGGCCGTCGGTCGGCGGTCGTGGCATTGGCGTTGCCCGTGTTAAAGCTGTGAGGGTTTGTGCGGCCATTTATCGCTCACCACGTGCTGATTTTTGCGAAATGCAGAATTATGACTTGTACAGATGCACTTGGGCAGCAGTCACATATTTCACTGGCGGCTACCAGATATGCATGTCCTGTTCGCAGAACCAAGTTCCTGTCCTGGCTGTGGCAAATGAAGTTCTCCGCGGCCAAGAACGTGAACGTGGTAACCGATAAGATGCTGCATGCGGCAGGAGGCTCTGGGTACAAGGTGGACTTGGGTGAGCTTTATAGCCCGAAAGGGAAAGCATAGGGGTTCTGTTCCGATAGTTGGTTGAAGAAGATAACTAATATATGCTAACAATAAACACGAAGCTCTCCACGCAGGACTCATAATTACATGTTTTGAAACCTGTAATTGTGCAACTGGCAATTACGTCAAGGAGTCAGTCATCTACCCTAACCGCCATATTTAGCTCATTCATTGCACGTTTTGAAATATATTCAAATACGGTATGTCCCTGTGCGTCCCCCTTGTTTCAATGTCATGTGCACGTAGTGATATATTACGCTTGATATCAGCCCAGCTACGGGTACATAATGCTTTCAAGAAACACTGTCACGTTGTCTCACAACGCACGGGGTTAGGTCTCACCTGTGCTGACCCAATGCTGATCCCAATGTCAAGGGTCACACGCAATAAGCCACCTGCTCCATTCGTTATACGGCTTTGCGGAACTAGGCCTTCTAGATCTGCTTATATGTTGTTCGATTTGAGGATGGACATGCATCACATGCGCTGAGACACACAAAAGGGGGTGACGATATCGTAGCATGTTTATTCGCACCCGTGAAGTCGAAACAAATGTTTGGCTGATTTCAACTGAAGGAAAGACAACCGGACCGTCGTCTGAGGCCCTCACGATAAGGTGCGCTTCGCCCGCCTACAAATATCGATCAGCTGGCACCTTGGACTGAACGCCAAGGGCACACAACTCACATGAGCGTTGACAATGCTATGATGACCTGGCGGGGCCGGCACTCCTCAATGCTCATTGCATCCGCCGTGTCCACCTATAGAGTATTCTATAGAGTATAGAGTAGTGTCCACCTAGTAGCCCTCCTTACCGCCCGGCCAACTCTGGTGGCTGTGGCGACTTAGTTCCTCCGTTGGCCACCAGGTCTGGAGCGTCTGCTCAGAGACGGCAAGGCCGGGTGGGTGATGGGACCCAGCAACGAGGTGCTCAGACAGTTCGTCGGCAAAGCCGTGCTTATTGGTATGGACGCCGTGGACTACTGGTAAGTGAGCCGTATTTTTGCGATCGAACTTCACTAATCCTAGCTATAAAGTTTACATGCACCATCATTTTTGACTGCGGATAATATCACATGTAATGGCAGCGCCGTGGATCCCACGACACCATTGGCAGTTTCAAAGGAAGCATATTCATGATGCTTAACTACAGACGAGAATCCTTTGCTTTGCGCTGACAGGGAGCAGAATATCAACACGCGCGCAGTGCACCACGAACTCAAGAAGATGTCCCCCGAGCAGAAGGAGGCCATCGCCAAAGAGCTGATGGAGGACGTGCAGAATGGTCGCCTTTCGGCTGACAAGGTCGCCAGCATCGACGATGAGGACTTTGAGAACCCCTTCAGCACTGGGCCACCGCATTACGTCAACAAGGTCGGTCGGTTACCCTCGGGAACAGTAAGGTTGGAACACCGGCATCTTGGTATTTTTAGAAGGAGAAAATATTTGCAGTACGAAGAGTTGGTGTTCTCCCACCCCTCAAAATTTGCCCAAATCGAGTGTTTCACATTTTAAGACTTCGAAGCCAGCATTAGATCGGAAGAACCAAGCTCACTTATTACTGTTGATACACCTTTAATTGGCAACAAAGTGCTACTGACAATTTCTCTGTTTAGTACATATGCTCCCCGATACGTGATTGCTTGGTTACGTTACCGCATCTGGCAAAATATTGAATGAGATCCCGTTGACGGCCGTTATGTCTGGAAACTGTGCTCACGAACGCCAGATATAAATGGCTCGATCATTATGTTTTTTGCTTTGATGGCCACATGGCACATGGAATTGCAGAATTTCGATGGCGTGATTATGACGTGAATGTCAAGGTGACTTTGTATCGCTCCGCGTGAAAAGTTCTTCCTTGTTTCCGAGCATGTAGCTCGGAAACTACAAGGACTTATGGGGCAGAGCTGCGAACTGCACCACACTGTCTTCAAGATGACTTTTTCAGTTTAAAAAAAAACATGTAAATGTGGAACACTCCGTTTAAACGTGCTCAACCAAAATTGCATAGGAATAGCCGGTATAAGGCAAGCTATCGCAGCTCATGGGTACTTCACTATCCCAGCCTCTACTGAAGTACGTTGGCAGCATGCAACTCTACGGTGTATTTTCCTACTAGCCCATAGGGTTCACGTGTGGAAGGCTTGCTTTTCACGAAGCTTAAACTGAATTATATGACGACAGTGTTGATGAACCCAGCACCAAAAGAAAGACTGCTTGATTATTTTGTGCCAACCCATTGAGCATCTTTTGTCTGCAGATGCCAAAGTCTCACGGCCTGCCGGCAGCTAAGTTTTCAGTTAGGGCGCGCCGTGAATTTTCCAATTTTCGATCTATTCTCAATGGGTTGGGTAGCTTAGTTGGTGACGGGTCAGATCCATGATCAAATGACCGTGCGTTCAAGGTCAGGGCGTTTTATAATGTGTTTGCGAACTTCCCATGAAATATGTTGAACTAATGCTAACAAGAAATGAATGCTGTCGATGTTATGAAATGTAAAAATTCCTTGTTTTTTTGCATGAAGTCGGGGCTTACCATTCGAAAATGAATTATATGTGCAATCACGGTTTAAGCATCTACGCCACGTTACGTTGAGCTACCGGGCGCTTAATGTTTAGGATAGAGTACAATTTTAGTCTACAAAACGCATCTCGTGTATTTCTAGTTTTAGGCTCCAAATGATGCACAGACCTCGTTCCATCCGGCATCTGTCACCCTGTTGCTATCCCATACTAACAGCGAGTTTCATGTGATCAAAACGGCTCTGCACATGCCATTCAATTTCGCCATTCTTTAGAGTTGGCGTTTTCAGGATATAGCTTTCTTGCCCATAGAAACATGAAAAACATAATAAGCTAGGCATGATATATTGTTTTTTTTTCTGTTGGAAAACCTTTGGAACTACCAGACGCTGACGCTGAATGGCCGCGAGTGCACGCCCGGCCTGAGTCCGGACAGCTACACCAAGATGACGCTCCAGAAGCGTTCACCCATCGGCGACAACATGGAGCAGTTTGACTTCGCGTACCCCAGCAAGGACAAGCACAGCGGCTGCCTGCCTGGGCAGTATGTCAAGGCACGTCTCGTCCAATGGGTCCTTCCATTGAGAAACTGGTAGTGTTGTGAGACCATCTGATCACGCGAACTGAGTCCCGCAAAGTATGTTTATCAAATAACGTGAAGTATTGTAGACCCCCGGGACGATGAGGATGGAATAAATATGAAACCAGCAATTCGAAGACGCTTGTTTGCATTGTTAAGTTTTCCACCCACGCAGTTTTATCATGTGTAGACACATGTGGACACTGTCTATCTCACCACTGCTGTGTGTCCAGGTGCGGATCCGACCCGCCGGCCACCCGGTGCAGGAGCGCTACTTCTCACCCGTGTCTCTACCCGACGAGCCCGACCGGCTGCAGCTCATCCTCAAGTTCGAGACGGCTGGCATTCTGTCGCACCATTTCCAGCAGCTTAAGCCGGGTGAGCGACAACCTGTGCAGCCGTGATAGCAACACCGGCTGCACAACTAGATACCTCGTTGGGAGCTTGGAAACATATAAATGATGCTGGCTAGATATGTTACATTAGATGACAGGAAAATTGATAGCACTTTGTGGGGATATCACTCGTTATAGCGATAGGATGATGTCATAGATACGACATATCATATCTCATATGTCTATCGTATCATAGATATATCATAGATATTATCATAGTTATGAGCCAGATGGAATTTAGTAGAATCGATGAATGTGGGAACATCTGGTGAATTTTGACGTGTCCGGCGTGAGGCTTATAAACACGTGTTTTCTAAGTTGTAAACGACATTTACTGTGGACACATTTTTGGTTACTTGATATTATATGAAATATTGGTATTTTACTTATCAAATTTCATGCCATGCTTCCTATCAATGATACGATATATTTTGATACGTTATATACTTCATGTATTCTTTATTTCGTCGTTTCATATATATGTTATAGGACAAGGAAAGCCTTTGGGGTTGTGACACGACACGTAAGCTGGATATTTTAATGGAGCTCTACAAATGTACGAAATGTGGGCGCCCGAATGCGTTTTGGTCCAACTAGCTCTTGTTTGAAAGAAAGATCTTCGAGGTCATACAGGCTCTGCTATGTGGGATCGATGCCCACAGGAGACTAGTGTCTCACAAGACAACATTTTCAGTATTGTGTTTTTCTACAATGGTTGATAATACCAGTTGACACTTCCCTTAAGAAGCAGAAAAATCACCTTTGTCTACCGTCTCGCCCTTTGTAAAAGTGCACAAATTTACACGGCTGCCGAATTACAGTAATAATTATTAACAACAATGGTAATAATAATTAAAAACACTGGCTGCACAGCTAGATGTGTCATTCGGAGCTTGGCAGCGTGGAAATAGTACAAGTACACTGGGTATTTATAACATCATATGACAGGAACATTGACGTCACGTTGGGAAGATGTCATCAAATACCATTACACGATGATAAATGTGAACCAGTGTGAATTCAAGAAAAATTAACGTACATTAGACCATCTGCTGAATTTCAGCAGGACATTAATCTCAGGACATTAATCTAATCCTCCTCCTCAGTCCTCAGGACATTAATCTTATGTGTTATTTTAGGCGACAGAAGGATCTATTTCACAGTGTGGATATATCATCCATTATTTTGACAGGAACATAGATATGACCCAACTGGAATTCAGTCAAATCGATGGATGTCGGACCATCTGCTGAATTTTGACGTGTCCGTGCCTGAAGCTTGTAAACAACATATTTGTTTAGTTATAAACAACAGCGTTTATTGTTAGCAACATAGTTTTGCTTGTTATATGGCATGGCATGAAATCATTAGATATGTTACATTATGTTTCATATCATATCGTACATTAATGATATGTTACATGTTCACATAATGTATGTTTCATCTATTTATTTGTCATTACATAGCTATGTTATAAAATATGAAAAGCCCATGGGGCTATGACACGGCACGCAAGATAGGTGTTTAAATGAAGCGCTACAAATGTACAAAAAAGAGGACGCATGGATGTGTGTTTGCCGAGCTAGCTCTTGTTTCTAGGAAAAATTGTCAGGGTCGTGTAGGCTGAATTTTGTTGAGACAATGCTCACAATAGGATGACACCTCACAAGGCGGCATTGTCAACATTGCGATATTTGTGATTGTGACAACTGGCATTACTAGAAACGTGGCTTCATGGGCACGTACAACACTTATGTTCTCGACCTCGCCATTTGGATAAGTACTTCAATTAACACGGCTGACGAGGGACAGATCCAACTGTGTTCTTTTTAGTAAACTATGTTCGTTTCCGTAGGAAACAAGGCCACTGCCAAGACCCAAACATTGTTTTAAGGGAGAGAAATATGGGTTGTTTCTGAGGTTAAGTTGGCTTCGTTGAATGAAGAGAGATAGGGTTCGATTGAAGGTTGTCCTACCAGCTTTCCCCTGAGAGTGTGTTTCAATATATTTAAAGGTTTTAGGCTCGATTGTTGCACGAACTGGCCTAAAACTTTTTCACTACTTTATAGAGCTTTGGTTGGATCTAACTGGGCCTATCGTGCCAGGTGCATGACTTGCCTTCGCAGTTGTCGAAGAAGCTCTCAGAAAGAGTACTAACAATACAGTGCAACTTGTACACTCACTGACCTTTGAGTCTCGGAGGAATGCCACACATGCTGTAAATGTGTCCTAAGTTGTACCTACTTCATACTGTTGCATGCGACGCCGGACAACAACTTTTCTATGACATGACCAATCTACTGTAAACTTGTTCTTATTCGAATGATTTTACTTGGCTCTTTTCAGAGCGGCACATGACCGCAAGTATAAAACGCTATTGAGGGTCCTGTTTTCCCAAGAATTACTAATCTAAACCGACATGTCGGGCACCCACATGTCGGTGCCTGCTCCGGATTGTACTCTGCCGACGAGATTCCCGTATAGCCGTCTCACATGTTTGCATGTCACACTGCCCTATGGCGAGGACTGAAAGCCCTTTTGCCTGTCCGCAGGAGATTCGATCGAGGTGATGGGTCCGTGCGGCGGCTTCGAGTACCACGCCAACACCACGGACCACCTGACCCTGATGGCCTCGGGCGCCGGGGTCACGCCCTGTCTGCAGCTGGTGCGCTCCATCATGGCGGACCCGCAGGACCGCACCCAGGTGCACCTGCTGTACTACTCCGAGACCATCGACGACGTCCTGCTCAAGGACGAGCTGGACAAATACCAGGGTCAGTCGCCCACCGCCGTCCCAGGGTCAGAGAATGGTCAGTGGCCCGCCCCACCTGTGATCACTGGAAGGATCATCAGTGTTCAGGCAGGGACCTTACCAGTGAATGTCCAGTTTTGAGGTTGATAGGTTTCCAACGGGATTGTTTTCTTTTTTAACCTTGTCTTTTTCACCAGGCACCGACCAGCGGCTGAAAGTCCTATACAGCCTGGGCGAGGCACCGGAGAACTGGGACGGCGAGGAAGGCTTCATCGATACCGACATGATCCGACACACGGTGCCAACACCCAATGGAGGCCGCTGCAAGGTAATACAGCACTGTTGCTAAACTCCAAGGAAGGCACTGCAGGCTGACGGTATGGAACGACCTGCACTTGGTGCGGTGGAAAGTGTGAGTGATCCCTGTGTGCGTTTGCGCTTGCGTTTATGTGTGCGTGTGCATGTGCGCGTACGTCTGTGTGCATGCGGGTGTGGGTGCGGATGCGGATGCGGGTGCGGGGTGCGGGTGCGGGTGCGGGTGCGGGTGCGGGTGCGGGTGCGGGTGCGGGTGCGTGTGTGTGTGTGTGTGTGTGTGTGTGTGTGTGTGTGTGTGTGTGTGTGTGTGTGTGTGTGCGGATGTTGTATGGGCGTGTGTGCGTAAGCGCCTGCATCGAATTAGGAACGTGAAATATGATTTCATGAGTTACAACACCGTGCGAAGAAACGTGCGCCGTTATGAAATATACCCGCAAGAGCCCCGCTCGCATGCCTGCGCTGGGGAGGAACGCTGGCGCCGGAGTGATCGTCAGAAGCGCGAGGGGTGTCTGCGCGGCGCGGAGTCCGGCCGACGGGGTCGGGATCTGTGTTGGTCTGTGGTAGGGAGCGGTCGTACGGCGTGCGTTCCGGCAAGTGAAAAACCGCAGGAAATTTCACCAAAAACCTTCATGTCCTGTGACTGCTTTGGAGCACTTTTCTACCGTGTACACCGTACCGCCACCGTGTAGTGAGGGCGCATGTCCTGTCGTCTCGCCAGATGGTGCTGTGTGGCGGTCCGACCATGATCATCTCCACTCTGAGCTCGCTGCGACAGCTGCACTACCCGGCCCGCGACATCTTCGTCTACGGCCAGTTCGGCGCCGAGCACGTCCGCATGGTCTTCGGCCGCAACGTTCAGCTGTCCGGCCACTCGTCCAGCTGCGCCGTCTGAGGTCACGCGTGTACCGTCGGAAGCCACGCGTGCACCACTGTCACACGTGCACTGTCTGATTACGCGTGAACCGCCATCACACATGGACTTTCTGAGGTCACGTGTGTACCGCCCGAGGTCAAACTGATAGCCCTTGTGGCCGTCTGTACCGCCTGAGGGCATCTATGCCGGCGGAGGCCATCTATACCGACCGTCTGTAGTCATCTGTATCGTCTGAGGGTACACGATACCGTCAAAGGGCACTGGTAAACCGTCACTGGTCACCGGTCACCGGTCACTGGTCACTGGTCACTGGTCACTGGACACTGGTGACCCATGGACGGAGGGTTCGTCTCTACCGTTTCCCGTGTATTGTCTGATGCACGTCTAGCCCTGTGTGCCGAAGACGGCTCAATTTGCCACGAAATTTGTATTATCCCTGTGGTTAAAGTTTGTCGGAGTACCTATGTCCCGATTAAAAGTACATGTTTCACCATAGGTAACCCGACACAAGCACTGTACGGTCCAAGGGTCTGCGGAGAGCATAAACCCACCCGGATGTACTAGACACCAGCCCGGCGCATGTGCAGTGCTAACAATGGTCGTGTCGCCTATGTAGCAAAAGGGCCTTGGTGAGCATGTTCGGTAATGTGTACTGGATGTTTAACCTCCCAGCTTGTACAGTAACACAGTATGGTGTGACGGTATGTTTTGCTTTCCCAGAGTTTGCCTCCCGACCTCGCCTTTAAGCACCTTGATGCGCTGGTCTCACCAAGACGTGGACCAGCTTTTACATATGCATGCATGTTGCATCGCTGTGGGATGATAAAAGGTCATTACACCAGCGCATGTGTGGTTTGCTTGCTTACTTCTATCTGTGTAAATTATACACCCGGCACATCGCGATACATGGCAAGTTACATGAACATATTTAAACAGTTACATAAACATTTTTTTTCCAAAACCCTCCAAAAGCCAACATGATCTTAGAAAAGGGTCATTGTGAATTCCCCCGTGGGGAAGAAATAAGAGCCATTTATTTGCCTTTCGTTGAATTTGCGTGATGCATCTTGTTTGTTTATGCTTTCCCCTAAAATGAGTGCGTCAAGCCTTCGTAGCTTTTATTACAGACGGATTTTGACGAATTTGTATGCTGCAAACATAACAGAACACCGGAAAAGCGTGGCAAATGAAACTTTTACTTTCGTAATGGGGAACAAGGAGTCTACCGCGATTTCTTTCGCCAGGGCGGCTGACAAACGGAAGTTCTGAGCTTTGAGAAGGATTTCAAGAAATTGGTATTGTGCATAAAACCAGACACGTCTAATCTAATAATATACGAAAAGTACAAAAAAGGTGCCCGTCTGCCTTTACGTCGCGACCATTCTTGATAATGCAGGACCTAACCAGGTTCGCCCACCTGGGCGTTGCGTAAATGGAAACGGGGTACTTGTGCGATTAGGGAAGGCACGAAGCGGTGTTTTTTTTGCGTGAGCGGCGCGTTTGAATAATGATACTCTGGCAAGCCACAGGCGTAGAATGCGGCCTCTCAATATCAAGAGAACAGGAGGTACTGACAAGCAGAGACATCGGTTAGCAGAACATGACCCAAAACTCGGTGTTGTAGTGGCTTGACTTCCCAAAACCCAAATTTTGGCACGATGTCAAGCAACAGTATTCCATCCCAACCGTGTGTCCTACTGGATAGGATTAGTTCGGCAAAATGGTGGGGTCAATGGTGAGTAGGTGTTAACGGATGTGGAAGAATAACTGCATCGTGAATGGTGGAAAGAATGCAAAAAAAATATGGAACAATGATGCGCTTAGTCCGTAGAGACCAGCAGAAGGAAGAACAACCCAGCATAGGGGAGAGCTGGACGAATAATAAAAGTTAAATCATAGTTACATCAAGTCGTTTATGTTGAAACCGAAGACGGACAGACAGGCAGACAGACACAGAGGGGGCCGGCGGAGAGTAGGCTAAATGCCCGACAGACGCATAGTAACCCAAATCATCAGGCGGGTGTAACGGAGGGAAGAACCACTCCACGAACTCTCCCGATATTACTGTGTTCATAATCTCGAACCTCCCCCCCCCTTCCCCCATCCTGAACAGTGAAGTACTTTCTTGCACGACGACCAGCGTGCTTGCACGTATGAGGACGTTTCTAGCACTGAAGGAAAAGGGCATGCACATTACGAAGGAAGGTAACGCCCAGAACAACCTGTAGCACGCCTCAAAGTTACACTCTTCACAAAGAGGTTATCTGGTAGTGCTGTATTGTGCCATCGCGACACACCGGTTACAATACGGGCGGCACCTGGGCTGTGAGCGTGCGCTCGGGTCCGAGGCTCTGACTTACCTCCTACTTGGCAACGTAGGGCCCATTTTACACGACCGCCAAGGCGTACCCCATCCTTGCTGTGATCCACATGGCGTGATGTTTCATGCAGCTGGGTCGACACGTTGCATGATCAGCGCGTAATCACAGTCGACCTGACAGCTCTGCAGCGCTCTGCAAATTTCTCGGTATGCGATTGGACCGACGCCTAACGTACCGTGAGCGCATAAGACATCTCCGCGACAAATGTTTAAAATATATTAACATCCTAAGGCGCTTGGGACGTGCATCATACGGTGCTGATAGGAGGACACTTTTACTCCTATATCGTTCCCTGATTCGTTGAAAACTTGACTACGGCTGTTTTATCTATGACGGTTCTTCAGACCTGATCAAACGTACTTTGAACACGGTGCATCACGCCGCACTACGCACGGTGGAGGCTCACGGGCCCCCATTAGCATTACAAAGGCAGATGCTGGGACTGCGCTACACGTGCATGCTGGCGCAGTTCCCAGATCATCCCACCTACAGAGCAGTGTTTTCGCGCAGCTTACGAGGGCTTTTTCTACGCCAACGCTCTCCACAAACTTCTCCCTTTTATGTACGAATGAGAGAACTTTTAGACGCGAGCGGCCTCAATCTATGACGTGTCATCAGACCTATACCCGTGAAGACTGCTCCTTGGGAGCTAGCATCGCCAAGAGTGGATGTTTCGCTATCAAACATGCACAAGCAACGCGTTCTCATCACGGAACTTAAAGGCGCGGCCTTAGAGCACATAACCTCCTTTGACGGGTACATGGTGACTTATATAGATGGTTCGAAGACGGATGCAGGCGTAGGGTCCGCTTTTGTGTGCGGATCCACAACCCGGTGATTCACACTGCCTTCACAAGCGTCAGTCTACACTCCCGAGCTTATAGCCATCATCAAAGGTCTATGTGTTATTAAAGTGGACGGCAGCAATTTGCATTTGATTCCTTCTGACTCCTTGAGCAGTCTCCTGGCTGTCGGCGGCTCCTCGTCGAATCCACCGGTCCAGGACATTCAATCGCGTCTTAGCTCACTGGATCGAGCAGACAAAAACAGTCGTACTATGCTGGATCTCAAGTCACGTGGGGATCTGCGGAAATGATCTTGCTGACGAGGCAGCAAAGCGCGCTACGACGGGGACACGCATTCCTATAACACCACTACCAGCTCAAGACATGCACCCCGCAGTGTCGTCGTTTATGCAGAAGCGATGGCAGTTCCACTGGAACTCGCTGAGCGCCAACAAGCTGCAGTCTGTGACACCCCGTATTGGACTATGGCAGTCGTGCTTTCGAGACAACCGGAGGGAAGAAGTTGTTCTTTGCAGGTTACGCATAGGCCACACATATGCTACGCACCGTCACGTGCTATTGGCTGGCCACAGACCATGTTGCAGTCGATGGTCGGACCCGCTGACCGTGCATCACGCACTCATTGCTTGCCGTCACCTCACTGCAACGAGAATGCAGTTTTTCGGACACTACATTCAGAAGGCCACGTGGGGCGTGGTTTCGCGGCTGCGTCCATAGATAATCATCGCGTGGCTTCGCGTTTGTTTATGTTAGTCTAGACAAGGAGGTCAAACTGGCGCCGCTTGCAGCATAATGTATACACACGCAAGGATGGGCGTGCCGCGCCATCGGGACGCGTGCCGTTGGCGGGCTGCGCGTGGTGGCGAGACGCGGGCACAGGCGAGCGAGGGTAAAAATCCGGAATAACGCGGGCGAAACAACAGACAGATGCTACAAGGATGCGTTGCCTGTTTCAAAATATGGGACATGTGCATCTCCCACGAAAGGGTACTTTCAATGTAACCCCCAGCACCTTCACGGACGGTGAAGGTAGCATTACCCAACCAGTCTGACTAGTACCTTCTGGTATACTGAAGCTCATTTCTTTTCAGCACAAGAACTGTACACTCAACGCTAAAAGAACAGAAGCTCAATGCTCTTTTTGTTCATATCAAGCTGCTAAACTGTTCGTCACTGCAGATGTCTCGGGATAGTTTTCACCGGGCGAAGGCTGTTGTACTCGCTGGAGTATGAGAAAATAATGTGAATGTTTAACTTGGCAAAGTAGTGAATGTTGATCGTGACCAAGAAAAAGTAGAGTGCATATGCGTCGTTGACAGACGTCGGCAACAGGCACGTCTCGCCACCCGGCACCGAGATGAACTATAACCACGATACAAACGATAGTGAGGCCTGGCATCTAACGAATTAAACGATGACCAGTTCTTCTCGACTACACACACGCAAGCTAGGCGAACCTTAATGCTGGCGAGCATAAAGCCAAAGAAATAAACCCTCCCAGAGCATTAAACGATAATATTTGAGAAAAACAAAATCCAGTTCTGGATGTGACTCAGTGCTCCAAGGCGTGTAAGACGATCTAAGGTAAAACAGGGTCGCCATACACGAATGATTTCATACAGCCGTCAAAAGACCTCAACCTACCTAGAGAATCCGTGTACAGAAAGATTTCATTCCACACTGATTTTGTTACTAAATGCATCATTTATTGCCAACAAACAGCAGCAAACTGAGCAAGCCATATTTCGGGACGAAAGGTCCGTGCAAGCATTCCGAAATGGCGTTACACCTCAACATGACATGACCCCGAGCCACTTGTTCGCGAACATGAGCAGTGAATGCATTTTCAGCTAAGACCAAATTATGGGAAAATATTTGATGGTTCTCCCTTCCGCCAAAAACACCGCTTGGAGGAAGACATCCACCAGCTAGCCCAGCGAGGGTTTAAGGTTACATGAAAGCCTCTATAATCAACAATTGGTGGAGATCAAGAAGACGATTTAAAAAACTCTTTTGACGAAACTAAATATGTATCATCGGAAGAATACAACCCTTGCATAAAGAGTTTCTTGTCCGGTTAAAATCATCCAAACGTCATTTCAAACACAGGCAGGAAGTTCTACGGCGTCCTATCTCCAAACGTGATATGAAATGCCAGTCCATAATACGCCAGTATACTTTTTTAATTTAGCACTGTACTTGGAGGTGCAAAGAAAGAGCGGATCTATGACACCCAAGGTCTCTTTTCATTATCCTTTTCGACCGGTGGTGCTCCTTCATTTGGCCAGTGTCGAAGCCGAAACTCTTCAAAATCCTACAACGTAAGGAACACTCGTAAAAAACAGCTTTTCCCTGAAGATGCACAAGGCTCCGTTTTCATTGAGCGGAAGGTCTGCCGACACATCTGAAGGACATCTTGACGCCATCAGTGTTTGGTAAAGCCGTGAACCATCCGAGGGTATTAATAACTGCACAGGCCACTGCAAGCTGCAGCTTATCCGGTTAATCTGCTTCAGACCTCCCGACCTCAGGCCTCAGTCGCAACCAAGAGGTACGGGGCAAAATACTTTGGGCGCAGGCGCCCAAAATACTCATGAACTGGGCGTCAGGCGCCCAGCTCATGCGATCGATAGGGGGCTTGCATATTTCCGCCGGTAAGCACTGTCGTCCTCATGTTACTTCAGCCAACTGTGGGCGGTTCCCGCCATATTGCCCTGTTACGGTTCATCGGAGTGGGTTCTGGCCAATCTAAACAGTCCACTGCCGACCCTGTCTCCCCTCATACGGGTTAGTGCTCGCAAACCTAGGCAGTTCACTGTTTTCTCTGTCATATTGTCTCCCTTCTCATCGGGGTCAGTGCACACCCACGTAGACGTGCACTGTTGTTCCTTGTCTCCCTTCATCAGGATTAGTGCTGGCCAACCTGGATAGTTCACTTGTCCTCCTCTACCCTCATCAGGGTTCGTGCTGGCCATTCTAGACAGTTCACTGTCATCGATGTGTCACGCCCCAGCTGTCGCCTGGCACGTCCGTTGCTCTCACGCACTCCAAGCTTGTCACGCCACATCGGACTCAAGATCTTAAGATGCTTTGAGGCAGGCTGATGCTGGCGATATCTCCTGGCGTCCAGCATGCTACTCTGCACGGTACAGCGACGCGATAGCGCAGAACACGATAACGCCGCAACGCCCGCCATCTTGGCTAGTTTGCTCTCCGGGCTTCCAGTCGGCTTATGTCCAACTGTCGTGCTTGAATTTGCCGTAATGACAGATGGGCACGGTGATAACCTAGGTGGAGCGTTATTCGTGATCACGCCAAAAACGCGTCAAGAGCTAGAGCCATAAACATTTGACTGGTTTGGTTGGAGGTCAACTTTTACCGTCAACAGCGTCCGATGCGTAGGTGGCAGGCTTTGATCGAAGCGCATGTCAACAATTCCCCGGGCTTGAGGCCGGCCATGGCAGCACTGCCGTTTCACCATGGTCCTTTATCTCTAGAAGCCCGAAAACGGGTGCCGATAAGGCAAGCCAACTTTTAAATGAGCCCTCTATATTAATGATCATAAGGTCCTTGTTAACGTTTTTAGAAAGTAAATACATGACCCCTCACTCCCAGCATGCAATTAGTAGGCCTATGAATTCCTTCAAATGCCGGTGCATCTGTGTAAGGTACAGTGACGCAATCAATGGCGTACTGAGAGGCGTATTTACTAAGCAG